TAGGGATGACAGTTTTTGAACCTAGAAGAGTACAAGGCTGGCTGGGCACATTTCTAAAAAAAAAAAAAAAGGTAAATTCCGACTTTGCTATGACAATCTGGCGCTTCTGAATCAGCGACTGTAAGTATGTTTTGTTATTAGTTTAAGTATTTGCTATTGACTGTTCAAATGCGGAGTTTTGCACAGCGCAGAGTAACGCGTCGTGTGTGTGTGTGTGTGTGTGTGTGTGTGAGGGGAACAGGGTCACATCACAGGAGAGTGAACTGCCTGTCAGAAATCATAGCACGTCAGCTGTCTTAACCGCGGCTTGTGTACTGCATCATCACTGTGTCTGTCAAAAGTTAAACAAGTTTTCATCACACATTGGCAGATTCATTTTGCTTGAGTAATTCCTTTTTTTCTTTCCAGAAAACAAGACTACTTATCTTCATTTTGCATCTCACTGTATCTTGATTTAAGGATGTTTAGATATTTGTATTGGAAAACAAGACAAAAATACTGAGGAAGATACTAATTTTTTTTAGCAATGCATACAACATTTAATGATTTTTTAAGACCTTTTTTTAATCAAAACAAACCATATACATTTTTTTTTTATAAAATACCATTGAAAATGCTAAAAAGAAGTGCCCCGACTTACAAGAGGTTGCAAACTCCAGCCCCTGACGTGCTGCTCGGCTTTGCGTCCTCCCGGGCAGGTATTCAACAAGTCCTGTCGTGCTAAGTGAGATAAAACAAAAATACAGCGACTCCAGGTAACTCCAGTCATTCTCCAGCAGGCAGTTGGGCACCAGCAGGCAGAAGAAAGAACAATGTTTGCTGTGCAAAAGGCGAGCACACTGTAGTGCATCAATGCAGCATGGTTGCGAGAAAGTCCCCAGAAGACTTGAAGGTTGTGAATAGGGGGGTGTGTTACCTAGGGCAGAAGGGCATGAGTGAGGCTGGACAGCAGCAGCAGGGTGAAGGGGATGCCCACGAGACAGTAAACAACACAGAACACACGGCCCTCATCCGAAAGAGGCACAGTGGTGCCATAACCTGCAAATATAGAAAAGCTTAACGATATCACAGATTTTGAAGCAGGATTATTTTAGTTAACTAAAACCAAAACCATAGAAAACAACAACATTTGTTACTTGAAATACAATAAATGTAATATATCTCATCATCACAACTATAATAATATATCACTGATACTCAAATAAAACTGCTTTGAGGATATCTGTGCCTTTTGATAAGTATTAGTAAATGTGATGGCCAAATTACACTGCAGGATTTGAAATTTGAACATAAAAGGAAATCAATCAATCAATCTTGAGTGTGGAAAATTAAATATTAAGTTTAAAATAAATTCATCATTTTAAATATAAACTATAAAACAATCATGCATCTGGGAAGTTGACTATACTTAAATGAAAAAAAGCTTAAAATTCAAGTTCTAAAGCATATATAAATAAATCAAATGTTTAGTTTGCATGTGTATTAATATTAAGATTAAAATACAAAAATAAATCACTTCAAATATAAACTATAAAGAGAACATGCATTTGGTTTGTTTACTGTAAGAAATAAGATATGGTTAATCCAAGTTCTAAATAAATAAATAACATATTTTGAGTGTGAAGACTTAAATACTAATATTTAAAATGTATAATTTATTTTGATCGAAATTATATATAGCTCATGCATTGGTTGACTGTATACTCGAATGACAGAGCTAATATTTCTAAACAAACAGGCAGACAGACAAACTGTGGAATAAACTTTACATTTGCTTCTTGGCTGTATAGGGCCTACAACATTGTCAATTGCTTCTTGTCTGAGCTGTTTACCAACATAGCCTCTCAGCAGATATTAGACTGTAAATGCTCGACAAGTTAAATAATTAGAATATTAGATTATTAAATTCATGTTTGTGTTGAATAAATTCATAGAGGTAGTTTTCAACGTGAAACAATCAGCTAGCATTGTAATGAATGTGTGACTGCTGCTCACCTGTGGTCGTGAGGAAGGTAATAACGAAAAACAGCGACGACGTAAAGTCGAAGTTGCATTCATCGCTGTCGGACTCCAGTGCGGCCATGCCGCGTTTATCAACAAAAGATCCAAACTGCTCTCCTTAACACACGGGTCATCTGCCAAAAAACGAGCTTTCAGCTCACGGACCTCTTTAACAAGCAAATTCTCCTCAGGTTGCTCCAGTATCATCAAAACAACAGCACCGATAACGACGAAGAGGCCTTACGCTATCATCATACATGTGAACGCGTAAACACGTAGAAAAGTCAGAGCTTTGTCTGCAAAAATAGCCATTATTAAACTAGTTTTGTTTGTGTATTGCCTCAGTATGGTAGAACATTAAGGTGCTGCATGTGTAACCAAAACTGGGCTCTGACATGGAGAGTTCAACACCATGCTGAAAGTTTAATGCAACAGGTCAGCAGACATCTGCGACAGCATCAGCCTTCACCTGTCTGCTAAAGCAGAGCCTAAACCAAACTTTTCAAAATATGAATCTGCCTCAACAAGCTCACTAACTGACTTTAGTCCAGTTGTCATCAGAACAGAACTTTGTATCTAAAATTCTGACACCTATTCAACCTTATGGTTGCTCCAAACCATGAGAAATGCTACGGAACAAAAATGAAGGAATTTTGAATAATGTATAGACAGATACAAACAGTAACCAAGGTCCAAAAAGAACAGTAAGCATCATGAAATTACCACAAAATTAGTCATGCATTATGTTCTTCTGTCTTCTGGAGCCATACGATAGCTTTGTGGTGAACAGACTGAAACTGAAGTTAATCAATGAAAATGTTCCCACCATCACTCTCTTATTCACATTTGTGCTTGATCGAACTTGGTACGTCATGAAGGCATCACTGGCATGAATGACGCACCAAGTACATCACTATTTTCTTTCATTGTACGGGAAAAATAAAACATTTCAGGGCCCGATTAACTTATTTTGTGTCCAGTGAAAGAATAAGGGGACATGGTAATTGGGAAAAAAATATTTTCATTGCTTATATTATTTCCATCACAAACGTTTCTCAGGGAAACGCAAAAGTTTTTTCTTCTTTTTTTTTCCTTTCATGACCATGTCCCTCAACAAAAGATTAACTGTCCCTTTAAAAAGAATGCTTTAGATTAATTAAAATGCATAATGATTTAAGAATTATTCTCTGGAACCATGCCAATATTCCTTTTTTTAAATAATTTGTAACAATTCCTTTAGAGTAATGCATTTAAGTACTGTTATTGCAAAATTAATTAAAGGGGTTTCGATTTGACATGCAGCTTATTACCAGGCCTTAAAAAAAGAAAATCATTGGCATTATAAACAGACTTGGCAATTTAAATACAAAATAATAAAATATCTTGTGAGTACATTACATAATGTATTTATTTTTACAGGCCTACATCATTACACAACAAGTTAAACGTAAAAAGGGACATTCACTCATATATAAATACTCTAATAAACAAGCCAATTGTATAGCAGTATCTGTTCAGCTTCATCCTGCCGTAAGTACAGTAAATATAAACTCTATTTGGTGTCAGGTTCTATTATACTATCTGTGGTACATACAGAAATAACTATAAGAGAACTCAAAGTTAATGCTACTGATCAGAATCAGCAGAGTTATAGCATAAAAATCTCGAGTGTTCATTCAAAATTATTTCCTCACAATAATACTTGCCTTGTTTGCATAGAGCATATAGAATTGTTCATCTGTAATTACTAAGATGCAGCCATTTGATGAGATGCCACTGTGGTCACGTGGTTCACGCATTTTAAAGAGGCAGGTGAAGAGAGTAATGGGAACATGTCCAGCGGCGCACAGGTTTGCTGACTCTCCCTATGACCGGCAGCTTGTGGGCGTAAGCACGAGGTGGGAGGGTAGTAAGAGGTGGAGTTGGAGTAAAGCTCGTCTGGAAGCGCCTTCCCTGACAGCGTCGCCCCATCTGCCGCCCGCCAATGATGAAAGAGAAAGCAGGAGGTCCAACCTGAGGCAGCGGGAAGCGGGCTTTAGGGAAAATGTCTCGGGATTGGCTGGTTGAACGTCCAGGACGTGACGAAGATGACCTGGACCGTGAGACGGAAGATGAGGATGAAGAGCGGGCAAGAGATCTGCAGACACGGGACAAAAAGGAGACCACCAGTCAGAAATGCACTCTCGCTAAATATTTTGTTGAGTTTTAAATGACAAGACCTGATCATTTTCGTTGAAGCCAAGAACCAAACCAACCAGCTACGGGGTGAATCACAATATTGCAAACTTTGATTTGAAACAAAACAGTATTTGAATATTGGACAAAAAGACAAAGGTTCAAGACTAAATGGCCTGAATTAGAGAACGAGCTACAAATCTAAGCACTGAATGAAAATCAAATCAAATAAATAATGAAAATTTGAAATTTAAAGATATATATAAATTATGTATTTTACATTTATTGGAAAATATGCATATATATATATATATATATATATATATATATATATATACACACACACAAATATATTTGCTCTGTG